TGTGTGTGTGTGTGTGTGTGTGTGTGTGTGTGTGTGTGTGTTAGTCACCCTCCCTCCCAAGAAACCCGATTGGCTGAGATGTTGGTGGGTCTTTAAGTCTTTCTAGCCAGGCCCATTTTTTAGACGAGCCTGCTGGAGCAACTGCCTCCCAAACCACACAGAGGTTTTTATTTATTCTTTTCCTTCTCCCCGCCCTCTTCATTATGCAATAAAGACATTCTGACTCTCGAGAAGAATCTCTTTAAACTTGTGTGTCAGGCAACTGCTGTCACAGTGGGAGTGGCCTTTTGTTGATCGTCTCAGGAAACTGTAAATACTATTTTAGAATCTGCCTCAGGGTTTGACTCAAAGTGGAAAACTTTTGAAACCTGACTTTATACTCCAAGCATCTTTAATCAATATTTTCAGATTAATTGTGGATCAAATGGTTGTTTAGAAGTAAATAAAATGATCTCCCAGCTCTGCAGTTCTCAGCTCTACACAGTTTTTAACAACAACTTTACTGTTTTGTCATCAGGTAAAAACCCACTGTGCACTGTGCACTGCCTGCCTACAACCAATCTGCTTAACAACCAGGCGGGGAACAAAGCTGAGTCGCAAAAGAACCAGATTTTTCCCTGAGGACTTCACATAAAAACGAACGATATGATTTGAGACGATATACCCAAAGCGCCTCAATTGCCCCCTGGTACTTGGCTGCAGAATAGGTCATAAACCAAGTCTCCTCCTTGTTAGATGATGGGACATGGGCCAAACTAAAAAGTCAAAGTATCAGGCGGACAGAGAAATGATTCCAAATGAAAGCTTATGTCATGTATCTGTGAGAAGTCTGTCCATCTCAGCTTGAGAAGTGTGTGTTTATGGTAACAATGCCAACCACATGGGTGCAAATGATCTGAGCAGGAAGTGCTACACCCCCCCTGTGTGTTTGTGTGTGTGTGTTCTCTGTGGTATCAGATAAAGCAAAACATGTCCAAGATATAATCTACATCAGTGATATAATGTAATTGCCAAATCATCAGCTTATGTAGGTTTTGATACTGGACACCATGTTTGTAAAAGTGTAAATTTACATTGTGCCCCGGTGCCAGCAACAATTTGCAGGAATCAAATGTTGAGTGACTTTACCAGGGCGTTGTTTGTTGATGCAGTAATTTGCAGCCTCCACATTCTTGTGGTCTGTTGGTGTTTATTCTCACTTTTGGTTACGCATCAAATTGAATAAGAAAGATAATTTGCGTGGTTGGTTCCTCGTGATAAAACGATTCGGATCATGTTTTTGAAGAAGAACTGATGCTTCTGCTCGTTTTGTCTGCACACGAAAAAGATTTAGAGGTGACATCTACCACTGGTGAAGTCGGGTCTTTTTGTTTCCACAACTTGAGGAACCTAGTGTGACTCGGCGTAGCAAAGGATTTGAATCACAAGAAACTAAGGCAAAACGTTCAACCCTCCAGACATGATGACTGATGACGAGATATTAAATGTGGAAATAGTGAGAAACTCAGCTTTTTGCTTAACTATAAAGTTGTTTTGAAATACTGCAAGTTTTCAGGTCGATACATATTTCCATCCTCGCTCACAGACTATGAGTTATGAAGTAAAACAAACACAGATCATGGTAGCTTAGGATGCAACGACAACAAAAAGGTAAATTGAGGCTTGAGGCAGTTTTTCTGTCTGAGAATTGGACAAAGACAGCGACATACTTTGCTCTGGTTTATTAGCTTTTCGGTATGAGGACAATCTCCTCTAATCTAGTGGGCTCTGCTGAGATCAAGCTGAAAATGAACTCTGTAATAATGGGAACAAGAACACAGACAATAACACGAGTCAAAAAACTTGAAAACAACCTGTGTTTAAAGAAACGTCTCTTCCTTGTTCCTCATGGCTTCAGGAATCGAAAGGAAACTTTTTAAGGGCAATCTGTTTCCCCCCGTTGCATAATGACGGCTGAGATGACCACACTGTCAAGATATTTCAGGACGTTTTTTTAATAGTGCATTCATTTTACAGAGCGGGCACACACAGAGAAGATAAAATTAGAGTCTGACCAACCTCAACATTTTTTAAAGTCATGACTTTCCAGCAGCAGAAGCACAAATATCAGGAAATTAAATATCTCAGTCAGTGATATAAGGGGACAGTGGAAGTTTTGTCCAACTGGAAAGATGATACTGCTGCATATCATGTCACAGCTCTTAAGACAAACCATCCACGGGATAAAAATGTCGACCAACTGGTCGAATTGGTCTATTCACTCACAGCATTTCCTCTTCCTCTCTCTGTTCTCTTGCAGCAAATCACGCTCCCGTTGTTGATGAGCGTCGGAGCAGCTGTGATTGGCTCCCTGCAGTTTGGCTACAACACCGGTGTCATCAATGCCCCACAAAAGGTGAGTTATGGGAGTGTGCATACAGCATGTAACTGCTCAAACAGCATCTCCAAGACATGAACCACAAGACACTTATTATTATTTATGCATCTATGATAGATCACTCCTACATCCCAACCTAGGCTGCATCATACATTTTCATCATCTTAAAAAAGCGAAACTGAAACGATAATTGGCCACATGAATGTTTTGGCTCTGGATCAGTTTTAATTCCCATCTATACAAACACACCTGAAAACGCACATGACGACGTCCAAACTTCCCTGTTTTAGCGTCTCTGAAACTCCGGAGTGGTGTCGACTGGTGTATCTGTAGCGGAACTGATGTGTTTTCAAATGAGAGTTGAGAGCGGAGGCAGCCTGAGACTTGATGGATTGAAGAAAAAGACAGAAAGTTGGTTGGTGGAGGGGCTGCGGAGATAATAATAGCTGCATTTAGGCAAAAGTCCAAGGACATCTGTATGAACAGGCCCTGAGCGATCCCTGTGTCAAAGAGTGTGTCTATGACCAAAATTGGAGCTGGGCTGCAGAGAAGGCTGGGAAAATCTAGACATGGGAATTCAGAGGAAATTAAAGTTGAGAGTCGTCTACCCCCGTATCAAAACAAGCTAATTGAAGAGATGTTTCCCAAACCCCACGAGGACTAAATCTACAGTGGGTTTAATTAACAGACAGGTACACTAAAGATATTCATTTCCTGGGGAATGTCTATATTGAGTTGTGTGTAAATAACTTTCCTGTCTGCCCGGTTTGCAGTGGTCTGAACACACCCCCTGGCTACACAGCCATCTCTCCACAGGTCAAAGCTGTGTCACCAGACAGACCAAAGCCCCGCCTGCTCCGCTCCTTTTTAATTTTCGTTCTAGTCCTCGGTAGGCCGGAGAGCGGCTGTCACGTGGATCTAGAGCTGCAGGTGTTTGTGTTGTTCTCTCTGTGAGGACAATTTTCATCAGGACTGCTCACCCACTGTCATCACACTGTCAAAGCTGTGTGGAAAGACGGGATACATTCTCTTACTGTATTTCGTGAGAGTGAAAAGAGCTGAAATAGACAGAAGAGAGATAAAGATAATAATCTCTTGTAGGTTTCTTCTTGGGTCATAAAGGGGACGATGAAATGGTTTAAAAGGGAATTTTAGGCTTTGTTCAAAGATTTTCCAATTGCGGTAGTTTAAAAAAAGATTATGTTTTGTAAACTGTGTGTATAAAAAATACAATCCTTTAAGGGGTGCACATAACAGTTATTATTTTCAATTTATTGGCTAATCACTTCGGCTCTGAGTCTGTCCCTGCTTCCTGAAAAGTCCTGCACATGCTTCATAATATTTAATCCTGTGTTTTGCCTCAATAGTACGACACTTGTTAGCAAGATTTGTCTCCACCATGAAAACCACACGTGTTCCTGTTCGTGCGGATCAGCCACCAATTGCATAGCGAGTGTGAGCTGCCGCACGCGAAAGGGAGGCGGTGAACATGTTGTCTGTTACATACTGGGCCAGTATGAGCCTGCCCTCTTGGCTCTTTATCCCTTCCCCATTCCCCAGCTTTGGCCTCACACACACACACACAGATCTCTCAGGTCTAAGCAGCATTACGTGCGGTGTGCAGAAAAGTTTTTGCCCAACACAGCTTCTTAATCCTTTATTAGTTAATAACCAGTTAAGAGGCTGTAATTGTGCGAATACAACTTTTATATATAGCAACAACACTTCAGATTATCAGCAGCCCCTCTCCACTCTGTGTGGTAAAGGCTGTGCTGCTGCTGCTGCTGCTGCTGCTGCTGCTGCAGCTGCTGCTGCTGCTGCTGCTGCTGCTGCTGCTGCTGCTGCTGCTGCTGCTGCTGCTGCTGCTGCTGCTGCTGCTGCTGCTGCTGCTGCTGCTGC